TTTTTTTTTTTTTTTTTTTTTTTCTGTCGAAGTTATTACAGACATTACTCAAATCAAGGCAATTACTTTATATATATTCACATGTCAAGTCAGGAGTTGGTGTACTGAACCTAAAGATAGAAAAATCCAACCTTATATAAGTAATTAAATAGCTATATCTCTTTCTCTTTCTCTCTCTACCTCTTTAACGGTAGCTAAACGATAATTAATATTCGCTACCTTAGAGTTATTTTCAAACCCGAGATATAATTTCATGGTAACATTATTAGTTAAGAAGATGTTAAAAACCTGTTATGAATGACTTTTCAAGTATTTAAAATACGATTTTAAACTCATTTCAAATATGTCCTAATGCACTAACTCATAACGGGTGAGTTACCTTACCATTTCAAATCGAACAAAGTATCCCGCCAGACCGCTGCTCGAAATACATCTTTGCCAAGTCTGTGGTGCTGTCCAGATGAGAATTTGTTTTACCAAACAGCATCATAAGGTTGCTGTATACAGTTAAAAAGGCAAAACCCATTGATGAAGAATGGTATAAAGATCACCCTACAGCTTTATGAAAATCACCCATCAGTGGGCTATGGTTGTGTGCTCAAAAGTGAAAGGATCCTAGGCATTATAGAGCATAATTGGTAGAACAGGAATGAACTAGGTGCATTGCTGTTATGAGAAGGTGGGGAGAGCATATTTCAATCTAGAATGGGGTATCCGAAAAAGTAGATATTTAGATAAGCATATGAAAGAAAGTAATGAAACTTTTCAATCGAAATGTTATTCTGTGTATTCCAATCAGCTTCGAACTATAATCAGGAAAACACACAAAAAAATATCTATGAGAATCAAATTTAGTCCAATATCAGGATAGAAACAACAAAAAGAAGAAGAAAAGGAATTAATCACTGTACTGACGGATGGAAAAGTAGATGCCTCGACTCTTTTATACCTTCTATATAAAAAAGAGGAACCTACAAACATGCTACTGATTGAAGTTCAGGTTGATCATCTTACTATTTGGATAGAATAGAAGTCTTGTGAGGATCGAGTTTACCGCGGTTTCAATGTAGCGATGTCTGATTAGAAAACATCAGGGTGGAAACGACCCGGAATGGAGCTACTTTGTTGAGCTTGCTTGAGATGCACTGTAAGTGCATAGTTATTCACCTAGTTCATTAAAAGATGCAAGAGATATCAGACTATAAGTATGCGTGAAACCATGAAGTATTGTGTTAATGATTTTTAGCAAGGAAGGAAGCAAGATCTTGAGCATTTATGGAACCAACCTCAAGGGTTTTCAATTGTTCCTGGTATTGAGAGACTAATTCCTTAAGATGTTGCAACTCCTGGTTCCCGCCTTCGTATTCTTTCTGACGTTCGTGCTGGATTGAGACAGCTCGTTTGAGAATATTGTTTTCCTGAATAAGAGCTTCCACTTGTTCCCTAAGCATCTTGTTTTCCTAAAATTAAATAAACGAGATAAAAATCACGAACATTATAGTGGCAGATCATTGGTGCATAAACAAATAGCAGGAATTGTAAAAGTTCCAAAACCTGATGAAAGTTATTTGCCGCCTCTGCATTTGCACGGGCACAGATGGACTTTTCAAGAACCTCAAGAACTCTTGAAGCACGGCTTCGTGCATCATCCATGTTCGAGGCACTTGTCATTTCTCTCACAAAGAGATCCACCCATTCTGCCCCATTTGTGGGAAGATTCTCAGAAGCTGTTGCATTCTCAGAAATTGCAGCTTCTCCTTGCGGTTCTGCTTCATCTTAAACGAAAAGATAAAATTCATTAGATGCACCTAACAACTGGATTCTAAAGGCATCAGAAGAAGCTTGAAGATGAAATTGGCAAGCATCCTTCAAACTGTTTTTATTAATAATCTGTTTAAAATGCATTGGAGATTCCAATTTGAGGAGCAGAATATGCAAGCGCTTATACAGAATCTTTTGAATTGTTTAGGTTTTGACTTAAACTTAAGGTATCTCGTAGCCTCCATGAAATGCAGCCAAGCAAACAGTTAAAGTTAGTATGGTCGTACATTGAGAGAATAGGTCAGTGTCTCTCAAAAGAAAAATCAACTCTAAAAGGCACAAATATGACGGGGGGGAAAGGATTTCTACTCAGGTAAACAAGGAATTAAGAGATCGACAAAGGGGAATATTACGGTGTACTCTTCCCCATGGGCGTAAGCAGATAAGGAGTTGGCTCGATGCCAAATTCCGGGAGGAGGGACGAAACACTGAGTCGAAAGAAAGGATAATTACAAAAGGGAAGTTACAGAAAAGTTCTCCAATCCACTGAACTCAGAAACAATGAAACATCATATAGAAATCAATTTGTTGAAAAGGATAAAAAAGAAATACATTCCTAAAATTGATTGGCAGCAAACTAACTTCCACCAAGAAACATCGAAGAACGTTTTCCATGAATGATGTTGGGGGAATGTCATTATTTACTCTAATTGCAAGAATCTGCCTCTGCTAAAAAGAATCTTAAACAAAAACCTTCTATATGACAACGTCATCAGAACTGATAAAGCTCTGCATGACATCACCAAGGTTGATCCTAGGCACTCTCTGATGCCAATCCAAGCAGACTTAAGTAACCAGACTTCCTCACCAGTCAATGTCCTAATGCCCTAAAAATGCTGAACTGGCCCATAATTTGATAAGAAAATAGAAGATAACTCATTTCACGCGGCTGTGAGATCCCACATCGATTGAGAAGAGAACAAAGTACTCTTTATAAGGGCGTGGAAATTTCTTCCTAGCAGACGCGCTTTAAAACCTTGAGGGGAAGCTCGGAAGGGAAAGCCCAAAGAGGATAATATCTACTAGCAGTGGGCTTTGGCTATTACAAATGGTATCAGAGCCAGACACCGAACGAGTGCCAGCGTGGACGCTGGACCCCAAAGGGGGGTGGATTGTAAGATCTCACGTCAATTGGAGAGGGGGAACAAAACACTCTTTATAAGGGTGTGGAAACCTCCCCAGTAGACTCGTTTTAAAATCTTGAAGGGAAACTCAGAAAGGAAAGTCCAAAGAGGATAATATCTGCTAGTGGTAGGCTTAGACGGTTACAATTCTCTACTAGTTAGTTATAAATTTTGATGGAACTACTACTCCTAATCCAGGTCAAGTTGATTCGAGGTATAAAAATGATATCAAAAGCCAGACTGCGTAGCAAATGAGACAAACCTAGCTTCACTGAGAAATGTGAAACAAAAACAAAATGCACAATCTGAGGATTGTTTGGTTTCCAAAACTCCAAACTTAGTGGAACTTAGAACTGCAACACTTAAATTTGTATAATTTGT